CCATTGGAAGAGCTTTTCTTCACAATTACATGAAATATAAGATATAAGAGGATGACAATGCAGAAGTACCATCATTTACAACAAAACACAGAGGACTTGCATAAAGAGATGCTTTTGCATTGTGCGACTTTATTTATTTTTGACATTACCATTTCATACTGCTAGCATCAGATATACAGTATTTTCACATGTAATAAGCAAATTATTTCTAAAAATGTATATTTTGTCTGGTATATTAAAGAAACACCCAAAATATCCAATATGATTTAATAAAACAATGTTTATTCCAGATTCATGCATTTATGTGACATTTGAGACAGCTGCATATCTCTCTCCATCTTTATTTCCAGTTTTATTTGGAGTATCTTCATTTTTATGTTCCTCCTTCAGATACTTCGACTTGTGTTCATGAAAATCATTAGCCAGCCTTTTATGGATTGGGACTCTTTTGTTCTGGTGACTAGTACTGACAGACACTGCCACCGTAGCTTCTGAGGATGTGGAGGGTACACTACCTTTCAATTCTTCACTTTTGTCCATTTGACTTTTTCCTTTACACAAAACAGTTCATATATGATCAAATAAATGCATATTAAATAAGAAATATTTCAGATCAGATGACAGAAAAAAAATGAAATAGTTTGAAAGGAGAGAAAGAAAAGGCAAAATGAAATGCACTAATATACTGTATAGGTGCATGTGATCCCTCATCTTAACTGCCTAGATCAGGGGTGTCAAACTCCAGTCCTGAAAGACTAGAGCCCCACACGTTTCTGGGTTTCCCCTCCTCTAACACACCTGATTCAACTCCTTGCACCTCCTTGTGCTAATTACCACACAGCTCTTGAGCTGTCATTTGTGGTAGATAAGAACTAAGCTACACAGGACTCTGGCCCTCCAGGACTGGATTTTGACACCCCTGTCCTAAGGTGAAGCTGGAAGTTGTTAATGTGAACACAAGTACAGAACAGGTATTTTTTTAATGCTGCAGCATACTGGATACTTGTTATGCTTTGTATTTTTAAGACAATATTTGTATTGCGCAGTTTTAATATAAAGCTGAAAGTGACTAACATAAACACAGTACAAGTCAGGTACAGTTTATTTTCTAAATGTACACCTTAATGGATATTTATTTTTAATTACTTGAGAGAATATTTATTTTGATTTACTCAAGTAAATCTTTGTTTTTTACTAGGAGGTAGCAGGAGTATTGACAGAAACTTTTAATTTAAGATAGTCATACTCTTTTCAGTAAAACACTGTTTAATAAAGAAAAAAGCAATTTATGTTTTGTTTCTTTTCCCCCCGCTGTGCTGAAAAGACACTAAACCGTGACTTCAAAACTGAGGTACATACTGAATCAAAATTTGTGGTCATCCAGGGGAGATCCTCTGGATGTCCCTTGTTTATGTCCCTAGCATTACTGCTAAAATGTTAAATACTATTTATGAAAAATGCATTTGCATCGGTTTATTGTCCATAATTGTCATTAAAAAGTCCATAATAAGTACTCTGGACGTCCCTTAAAGTCATCGTCAGAATGGAGGAAAAAAAAAACAACCTTTTGGATGTCTTAAGGAAGTCCTTTGATGACATCCAGATGTCCTAAGGCCATATTACTGTATTACTGTTTGCTGAGTACTTATGTATGCTACTGCACAAGAACATTCTACTGCTACCTAAACTACCAACCTCAGTTCACTGCAGTGATTACTTTACTACATAATATGTACAGTCAGGACCATAAATATTTGGACACTGACACAAGTTTTATTATTTTACCTGTTTACTGAAATATATTCCAATTGAAGCCATACAATGGGCATGGACAGAAAGTGCAGACTCTCAGATTTCATTTTAGGGTATCCACATTCAAATGAAGGGTTTAGGAGTTTCAGCTCATTAACACGTGCCACCCTCTCTTTAAAGGGGCCAAAAGTAATTGGACAATTCACTTAAAAGCGATTTCATGAACAGGTGTGGGCAATTCCTTCGTTCTTTCATTATCAATTAAGCAGATAAAAGGCCTGGAGTTGATTTGAGGTGTCTTGTTTGCATTTGGAAGATTGAAGTGTGAACATACAACATGCGGTCAAAGGAACTCAACATGCAGGTGAAACAGGCCATCCCGAGGCTGCAAAAAAGAAAAAAAAAACAATTTGAGAAATTGCCACAACATTAGGAGTGGCAAAATCCACAGTTTGGTACATCCTGAGAAAGCAAGCAAGCATTGGTGAACTCAGCAACGCAAAAAGGCCTGGACCTCCACGGACGACAACAATGGTGGATGATTGCAGAACTTCCATGGTGAAGAGAAACCCCTTTGTAACAGCCAACCAAGTGAACAACAGTAAGTTGTCTGTGAAGGGCAGCCACCCTTAGCATCGCCCAAGGAGCTGGGGGATAAGGGCCTTGCTCAAGGACCCGCAGACGTGCTGAGGCTGGGCTTGAACCGGCAACCTTCTGATTACAGGCACACAGGCTTTGCCCACTGAGCCACCCGCCGTAAAACATGATGGAGGCAGTATGATGGCTTGGGTGTGCATGGCTGCCAGTGGCACTGGGTCTTTAGTGTTTCTTGATGATGTGATACAGGATGGAAGCAGCCGAATGAATGCTGAGGTGTTCAGAGACATAATGTCTGCTCATATTTCATAATACAGATGGACAATAACCCAAAACACACAGCAAAAGCAACCCAGAACTTTATTACAGCAAAGAAGTGGAATATTCTCGAATAGCCAAGTTAGTCACCTGATCCCAACCCCATTGAGCATGCATTTCACTTGCTAAAGACTAAACTACAGACAAAAAGACCCTCAAACAAACAGCAACTTAAAGCTGCTGTAGTAAACACCTGGCAGAGCATTAAAAAGTAGGAAACCCAGTGTCTAGTCATGTTCAAGACTTCAGGCATGCAAATAGTTTTCTACTAAGTATTAGAATTGAACATTTTATTTGCAGTTACACTCACCTAAAGGATCATTAGGAACACCATACTAATACGGTGTTTGACCCCCTTTCGCCTTCAGAACTGCCTTAATTCTACGTGGCATTGATTCAACAAGGTGCTGAAAGCATTCTTTAGAAATGTTGGCCCATATTGATAG